ATAAAATCATAACAAAACGAAATGTACAAACATTACATAGTAATATCTATCATACAATATATTGTGTATATAAAAATAAATGTACATTTGTATAGGGGTTTATAGACTTGAAAATTATTGAACCAATCAGCACTAAATTTTGAACGCATAATCCTTGACACTTTAGGAATGTTCATAACTTCGTTTTTTAACCACTATATATTTCATATAGAGTGAATCACACATAAACTTAGTTTTAGCTCACACAAATCAATTATTTATTTATAAAATATATAAGTATTTAAAGTGACCGTTTTCGGTTACAAAAATAAAAGACATTTTTATATTATCCATATATTTTACATGTATATAAAATAGAATGTATGTTTTCAGTTTGTATACATAAAAAACTTATTGACTAATTTTTAAAACAATTCAAAGATTATTCTTAAAAATATCAGAAAAGTTTAGAGAGTAGTTTAAAGTACGTACAAAAATATACTAATATAATATACATCCTATCCATCACAAGCGATTTGCTTATCTCGGTCAAATTAGTTCACTTGCAAAGAAAAATACACTGATGCCGGTTTGTCCTTAAACCAATGTACACTAATACCGTACTGTATTTTATGTTTTTCAATTTTTTTTTAACTAAGTCGGGTTATACAGTAATTCACAATAGAGCTACCATATCACGATACGACATACCTAATAATATGACATTACATGACGTTTTCCATTTATGGCAAATTATACGTATAGGGAATATAGGTTATGTTATAATTTAAATCATACATATCGCAACAGCGATTTTCAGATGTAATGCACGTGTATTTTTTCAAAAAATACCAACATCAATTTTCGTGGTAAATATAAATTTGACTAAGTAATGTTTAATATAATATCTTTAATATAACATAGCCGGCACTATATGAAGATTTAAGACAATTCAAGTTGATATTTTTACCCTCTAATTTATAAATAAACAATTGCAAGCATGTCTGCACGATACAATTTGGTCGATTAATAATTATTGAAATCGACCCTATGCCGCCTACAACGTAACGCGAGTACGCTACACGTGATTTTTGTATACGTCAGCAATTTGTTGTCTGCTAATTACAATTATGATTAATAGACAATAGTTATATTAATTAAGTTTAGGTTTGTAAAGTTGATAAATCTGCAAGCGACAGCTCTCTATACGTTTCCAGGCCCAGTATTAACACTGAAGAGTAAAAACTAAAGTAGCTACAGATTAGAGAGCAGTATTCCCAAAATTATCACAATTCAATTGAAGGTACATACTAAATGTGATGGTCTTGAAGCATACCTGCACTACGTATCATATAAAAATGTATATATAACAGATATAAAACGAAAGACTTTGAAAACACTACTATAAATGATGGCTAACCGCCGGAAACGCCAATTGTGCAGGGCATGACTTTTTCTCGACCGAATCATGTATTGTCGTCTTCGCGAGGCCAACCCGACGGTCGTCGTTATTCAAAACAAACGTTATAAAGCAATACAATACATAAATTATATATTACTATATATGTGTTTATGTAGGACTCTTTGAATCTTTCTACCTACATAAAAAATGACTCTCGGGCCCCTCGTTTTACGACTGTTAAATTGTTATTATTATTATATACAGCATTAGTTAAATACGCTTTGTGAGAATCAAGATGTAAAAGCAGCGTTTGTCGTCTTCCAACTGGTACCAAATATATAGAAATAATTAATATTTTTACTTCATTGATCATTGCAGTATAATGCATGTAATTTTTAAAGTGGTATCGCAGCTGAAAATGATAATAATACAATACAGTCTCGGTTTATGCGTTAGAAATGTAAAAAAAAAAAGCTGAGTGAACCGAACTGTAGGATCTATACAAAATACATTGCAGGACATCATGCATTTTTTAAAACCTGAACACAAGTCTCGACAAATGACGTATTTAAGAGTTATCTATGGTAATGGGTAGGTAGCTAAAAAAAAAAAATATAATTATTTATAAAACGTGTCTTATATTTTTCTTTTCACGTAACCGTCTTAGACTCACCACTTCATACTACAGTTGTACGGATAATTTATACTCCATCAAATGTCTTAAATCATGACTTTCCAAATAAAATAACACTATGTCTATTTTCTTATCAAAATAAAAATGATTTATAAGCTTAATAGTTTAATAACAGTAAAAAAAAATAAATATTTTAAAAAGAAGAATCTGCAACGTATTGTAAAAAGTTGTATTATAATAAATAATGTGGTTTTAGTGTTTTACTTGGTATAATATCATTAATTGTATCCGATTAAATAAAATGCAGATATTCAACACTATTATAGTACAGCGGGGTATGTTACGTCAAAATGAAACCGGCAACTGCGGTATTGTAGCGTTAAATTCATTCTTTTTTAATGTGTTTTTTTTTAGAAAATAACACCTATATGAATAATACTTTTGCGTAATTGTTATCATGCAACATAGTTAATTGTATTTAAGTACACGATAAACGTCTATAATTCAAAGAATAATTATTATATTTATATTATTATTAGGTATAACCAGAATAAATTACGAATATTCTATTATTGCTTATTACCAACAAGTTATAAGTGAGCTATTTGCTTAAACTCGGTGCAACATTATTTTCACAAGTTTATGTTATCATTACAATGACGAATGACGGAAATATAATAAATTAAGGTAAACAACAATGTGTACTCAACCATTATCGATTGAACTAAGTGTTTAAAACGAAATAGAAAATTTACTGATTTAAGTCCAACGAAGGCTGCGTGTGGACCACTTGATTGATCACAAACTTATATGTACACATTATATATTTATTAATGCACTGATGCTCTATATTATGACTATAATCGACAGATATTTTTCCCACTCACGCTTATGGTTTATTGAGTGGTATTTTAATATTTATGTATTGTATATTCTGTTCCCATTTTCGTTTCTTACCGAAATAACTAACTACTATGTCGTATTTAATACGCATTACTTCACTCAGTCTCAAAAAAATCAGAATTTACCACGCTATATTCTAACGAACCACACAATGTATGACCGGTAATCTGGGTTTCTCAAAAAAATATTTATCGTGTGTAAAATTTTTATTTTTTCATTTCACCAAATTGTATTTCCTAAACTTAAAACATAGCTTATACAAAAAATCAAAAATTGTGTAATTTCTAATTTTTTTGAATGGAACATTACCTACCGTGAAACATATGGTTACCGCAATATAGAAGAAATAAAAATAAAGGCAAAACGTACTACACTCAGGTACTTATATTGAAATAAAAACTATTTTAGAGTTACATGTATGTTTGTCTAGTAACAGTATAACTACTTATGGTGTGTGCACTTCAGTTATCTACTTAGGGACACCATTAATTTTCTCGTAAAAGATCAAAAAACAGCGTACGACAATAACCAACACGTTTAATGTTTATTATTTTAATAATGATCTATAAACAATTATTGGTAGATAGTTATACAACTGTCAATGTCTAACAGTCAAGCGTATTATGCATTCATGGATTCGACCACATCTAAGTGTAAACGATTTAATATTTCGGTCGTCATCAGAGTAGGTGCGTATTCTATCGGGTAAACCCATATAGCGATGCGCCGTTGTAGATGGGCATATTTACGTGAGAAAAACAGCCAACCGATTTAATTGTATGCAAGTTTGTTTAGTTATCGTGAATTCATTATACGGTTTTATTACGTATCTATACTGAGTACTATGGACTATAGGTACTACGGCCTACATCCTACATGTATATAATTATCATCAACGCCACCACACACTGCGCATGCACGCGCACATACATAGAAAACAAAGTCGAGTTCACTGAAATAATATACATCGTCGGGCCTAAATTAAGAAAAATCTACCGTTAGAGTCGTTTGTGAATGGAGTTCGTCTATTTTCCGTTTGATTACATTAGATCACACGTTATAATCTCGGTTATAATACATATGGTATAATATCGTACATATTAAATATACTATCAATGAACGATTTAAACGTTAAAAAAGTATTATATAACCTCCAGCAATCCAGATTGTAAGCACCGTACGTATTTTATAAACACGTCATTTTTTATATAGCCATATAATAACGTATCGGTTTTAGTCTAGAAAAGATTGGTTTCTTTTTAAGGCATTAAAATAATTATATACACTATATTATAAACTTAACATCCGAATGAAAATAATCAATCACCACGCGTATTTAAGTTGAAGAAGAAGGGATATGTGAGTTCAAAACGAAAAATACGGTTGAAGATTCTAACGCAATAGCTATATTTTAATAGAAATATACACATCATACAAACAATATTCTTTTAAAAGTTCGAAATCCAGGTTAAATTATTATCTGATCAAATACATGACGTTATAGAATCGCTCTTTTATACATATACTGCGTATCGTTACAAAAACTATACCATTTTAATCGATTATATTATTTGTAGTAATTTTGTACCTACTACTGGTAAAATGGTTGGGCATATGTCGATACAGGCAATAAAAAGAGTACAGGAGTGGACAAATCATACCAATATCAATATGGCAAAATGATAGCATACCTAGATGGCTCATAAAATGTGTAACGTGCGTGTTACTATAATAACACATTATAATATGCATATTGTAGTACCCGTATAATATAATAATATGACATGGATTTAAAGTATAGGTATGATATAATTTTATGCATATTATAGTTTATACACCATACAGCTAGAGTGTATCGTATCGGCATCACTCGTTTAAATTGACATTTAAATCGTCAAATTCTTCATATTATTAACTATTACATGAGATATATATAAGATACGTTCTACATATATTTCGAGAAATTTAACTATCGTCAAGACTATAAAATAAATGTATGTTTATATTATTGCCTTAATAACAAGTGTGCAGCTGTATTTATTTATTAGTAATAAACGTTGAACAACTTTTGTAGGTACTCACAGCGAACGCAAAGTTGAAAAAAAACAAAATGTATTTGATCGTGGATGTGCCTAAGCCCATTTCGATGCGGTTTTATGAGACTGAAACAGAAATAATATCTCCTGACGACGTCTGGAAGTGAAACACTGGCGATCTTACGACGATAAAAAATATATATAAATATGAATTACAAATGTATAAAAAAAAAAAAAAACAAACAACTGCTATGACGATGAAGTTAGTGTTATTAGTGCGTAATGCGTGATGTAATGCACACGAACGATGGCGGCAAACTGTAGCGAACTAACGAACTAGTGGCGAGAGAACGTGTTGCTCGCGTTTGTTTTGATCGTCTTCGACGGTAACGCGAGCGTGTGAGCCGCCGACAGGTTGCGCGACCAAAACGGCAACGGATGGGACGCCATCTGATGGCACAATCGACTAAAACCAAAAGTTTTGACAAAAGTTGCGTCTTTCCGATGTAATTATTATAATTTATATTAAATAACCCCTGGCGTGGTTCGAGTGATACACTACAATGGTGACACAATGTTTGTACGGAAAACTTAACTGTGTTAAGTGTATTAATATTTTATACACTATTTAAATACCTACTTAAACTGTTTTTCGATTTATTTATTTAAATGTAATATTCGTTCAACACTCGTTTTCGTTTATAATATTAGGTACCTTTACTCCTGCATAGAAAACTATTTGAAAAATTAATGATGTTTAACAACAAAACATTTTATTACATCGGTTTATTATACTAAACAATTTCAAAGTGTGTAATTGTGTTTTTATAATGTTATGAAAATATAAAACGTATACAACTAGTCATGGTTTTAAATTGATTTTTGAAACTTTTAATATATAGGTATAGTCATTATTTATACGCATATAAATATATTTTAAAATTTTTGATTACAACCATATAGCTTCTTTAGAATAAGTTATTTTTAGAAAAAAATTCTAGTGTTTTGTTAAATAACTCAAAAACTACTTTTTCAGATTTTGATTTTGATACTTAAAAAAATATTCACTAAATAATCTACAGTAAAAAAGCATGATTCTCGTTTGAAAAATAAAAGTTAAGGGTTAAACATACTTAATGAATCACTCTGTATAGTTGCATACAATTAAAACGGTATTTTATAATTTATATAAATAAACGAGTATTATATAGTAGTAAAACCCTACAAAACTGATTACCTATAGGTATTTAATGATTATAATAAGCTAATAAGTAGTGATTAATATTAAGTACATAGCATATACCTACTACTTATTATAGGTATCTGAGTGAGTTGTCATTTTTCAATTGGTAACTTGAATAATAAATTAATAACTTATTCTACATTTAGAATTGAGACATGAGATTTATTGATAACAACAACAATTATATTAAATAATTTATTAAGTAGAAGGCTAATTAATTATGTCATCAGCCATTTTCTGAGATAATTGTATTTTGTATAATATATAGTGTACCTAAACGATTTTCATAACTTGTGAGAGTACCTACTTGTCCTACTTATTATTATTTTTTTCTTATTTTATGAACCACTAACATAGTAACAAAGGGGAACTGCTTTAGTTTAACTTCGTTTTCTCCTCATGAAATTTAATGCACACTGTACATCGTAGTCATCGTACCATAGATTAAGATTACTTAAATATATCCTAATCTATGACTACACATACCTACTGATAGTGTACTTTTATCTATTTACTATGACACATTGACACATCACTGAGTGATTAAGGCTTGGTTAAGAGAGCTTCCATTCTCTTTTTACAATTTTTTTTTTTATAATAATATACTTATACCTGTAGAAAAGATACCTATCTTTCCTCCATTCTCAGCTCCAATTCTGAAATAGTCGTAAATATAATTATTAATTTTATTTTGGAAGCTGGTTTTAGCATATACCTACCTAATTTACTTTTAAGTTAATTGCTGTTTTTATCTTTTTATATTTTCTTGTTATTTAACTATTTAGCTATGTCGTTTTATATAATTTTTGAGCTGTAATAGTAAAACTAAAAGCTAATAAAATATATATATACATATAGGTTTATAGGTACACATTTAATAGAAATTTCAAGCAAGCAAGTAGGTACTCTGCTTTATAGTAAGTGTCGATTGTCAGGTGTACCTCATTGAATGAGTCATTGTAATAGATGTGAAAAATTAGAAATTAATGATAAATTATTGCATACGAAAAGCGATTCTGAACCGTAAACCTAAATTTCTTAAAATGATTTTACAATAAGTATTAAGCGTTTTACAATATCCTATAAATAGGCAACATCAAAATTAATCTAAATATTTTGAAAATGTCAGTATACCTATAGTAAAAAAATAATAAAATACTTAAAAATGTATTTACAAATATTTTTGAATAAAAACAAAATAACTAAATTCTTAATTTTCGTTTAAATATTCAATATTTATGTATTAGGTTTTAATACATTGAATAATTTAGTTCCTATAAATTTTCAAATTTATCATATTTAATAATTTATAATTGATTATCAATATAAAATGATAAAAGCTACAGTTAATTTATATAGATATATACGAGTATACATATCTATTATATTTATGTAGATATTTACTAATTATCTACATTTATATAGGTACCTACCTAATTTATAATATAATAAAATATTATTATTTAGTTATAAATAACTTAATTGTTATTTACACAACAATTTAAATACTATTTTTCTTAATAAATAATTTTTAAATGTTCTCCATTTAATTTATATTAATTGTACTTATATTTGTATGTATTATGTATTTTATTAATCAAAATCAATTTAGTGTGTTTTTTATCACATAAAACTTAAAAATTACACATATATTACAACATTTACTAATTATATATATATATATAATAAATTCTTTTAAAAAATAATAATTTTTTTATGAATCATAAAAAATTGATTTCTTTTTGGTGAATATTTTATTGTAGGTACTTACATAGTAAACAAAACTTGTAACTAGTAACATTATGTAAAATTTACTTAAGGTTATCAAGAAAATTGCAAAATACAAAAATATTTTACAAGCATTTAACGAAGTCTATATCACCTCACTTAACCTAATCCACTATAGGTTAATTTTATAATTTTAAAATAAGAATTTAAGACTTAATTTCTTTGAAACTATTAGTTGGAATAATATGTATTTATCTAAATTTATGTAATTGAGTTCCATTTATACTCAACGGGTGTAAAGACTACCTTTATTATAATCATTATTATTTGAGATTTATGAACACAGAACTTATAGCAACATTTTTTTACTATGAAGCTTATAAACTATGGAACAAAAAAATTAATATAATAATCTTAAGTTTAAATAACAAAATATTAAAAGCATGTAAAATTCAAAAGGAAAAAAAATCTAAAGATGTTGGGAATGAAATTTGTATCAATCAAAATAATGAATATTTTTTGTTTGATAAAAGTGATACGAATATAAGACCCTTTCAAAAATCAAACTTCATTATTAAGTTTATAAAGTATAATATAGGACAATGGGTTTGCTTAACCCTTTATTATTTGTGACCTATTTTTTAGTAAAAGTTACCACAACTCAAGTCAGTTTGCTTAGTTATGGAAAAAATAGCTTAATATACCATTGAGTAGGTGTACTGTTATAATTAAAACTAACTAAATAAAAAAATTGATTTTTGCAGGAAATATTTTATTTTTTATTATCCATAACATATATTAATAAGTGATAAAAAAAAAAAAATTGATATGATATTTGCTACAATTGTTTTCAGATAATAAATTCCACCTTAGCTTGATTTTAAATTGTGCAATTAGTAAATCATGTTTTAAGTCAGTTTCTTTTTGATGTTTTTAGATTGAATACTTTAAAAAATTCCTTTTCACATAAATAAATTGATTGAAGTATTAATTTTTAAACAACTTAAGTTGTTGGTTTGGAGTAATTTCTCATGTATGCCCAAAAATTATCCAAATAAGTTTCAATAAACATTAATTGCTTAAGTCTGTAATCACACAAAAGTTTAATTAATCTATTTTCTATGTCAATATAGACAGCCACTAAAACATTAAAATAATTTAAATTTGATCCATATAATAAGCCCACATTTGATTCTATATTTAATTTTATCTTCAAATTATAATATGAAATAGTAGTTTAATCATAAATTACTGTTTTGAATATCTTATCACATACAGTCGTAAATAATGCTGGTAGGTACAAATCATAATATGATTTGATATTCATTATAATTATTTATATATTGAATTAATAATATCCTATTAAAATTAAATTCTTTGTGAAATGTTGTTTTTATATAATTAATTATTTATAATAGTTTTATAATTTTATTATATTTATTTTTAATAGAGAACACCTGTCATACCCCAATTTTAAACTTTACACAACCCAAAATTGATCAGAGATTTACAGATTGAAGACCATTAATATAGCATATGTCTTACAAATAATACCTAATTATTATAAAAATATAAAAACATGACACATAATAAATTTTCGATATACAAATAATTATAAGAGATTGTATTATTAATATCAGTCTTGTTTTTACATGATTATTTTTTAAAAAATTATTCATTAATTTTCAACTTCCTCTTCTTCTACTCGTTCTTGTTTAGTAATTATTTCAAATTGTCCAGAAAAATTTTTTGTAGCATATAACAGCATTTCAGTTTCTGGTTCGCTGAGTCTATCATAGAAATCTTTAATACCCTGAAAATAAAAATAAAAATAAAAATAGTAATCAAAGCCAAAAAAAAACATTTATAGATAGAATTTAAATTTTGGGGCAATATAAATAATAAAAGAAAAAATAAGATTATGTGTTAGAACTTGTAAATATAAAATAAAACAATTAATTTTTAAAAATATTTTAACAGTAAATTCTATATGACATAACATAGGTACTTTGAACTTGCACTTTATGAATATGTCTATTAGCATTCAGCAAAATATGTAGATACTATATAACATACTATTTTAAGCATTATATTTGCCACCTTTGCAATTGACAAACTTATCGATTTGAACCTTAAATATATATAAAATTATTGTGATAAATCAATAATTAAACAAAAGTTAACAAAAAAAAAGCAAAAATATTCTATTTTAACAGAAATTGAATTTAACAATTTTTTGATATAAGAGTTATTTTTCTATTATTTTTTATAAAAAAAAAACATAAATATTGCTTTCAACTCCAATTTCTATTATGAAATACCATAAGGATACAATTTAAAGTACCCATCTCTAAACAAACATTATATGTAATTTTGATTCATTTAGCTTTAAATGTAACATGGGCTTTCATACTAATAACAGTTACATGTACAATGTAAAACACATTATCATTTTTATATATTAAACTTTTTAAATAAAAGACCCTATAATATTAAATGAAAATTTATTTTATAAACAAGTACCTACAGTTAATAAGTTAATAAGAAAATGAGTTTAATTGCTATGAACTTAAAAAGTGTTACTTAATAATCAATTAATAAATTAAATAAATACCAAAGATAATTGTAAAACAGAGTCTGGTGGATCATTGACTAACATAAGTTTTTCTTTCTTTGTCAGATTAATTGGCATATGTTTTAATTTGATTAGGAATTCTCTAATTTTAGTTGCATTTTGTCCTGCACATGGTCTTTGCTCTAAATACTTGTTAACCTATAAAAAAACAAATTTTTATAATATTTCTAACAATTTTAAAACATGCTAGTAAACCAAAGGATTAAATTAAAAGCACCTCATATAAAATTGTTGAATGGTTCATGCCTCCAATGAGTTTAGTATTTTCTTGAGCTTTTTTTAGCAATTCAAAAACCTAAAACAGAAAAAAAATTATATTTTTAAACATAAACACAAGAAAAATTAACTTACATATGAATATTTTACTCATTTTTTAATTTTATAAAAAAAAATGAAACAAATTTATGATTATGTTTAATCATCTACAGTTTGTGGTCTAATGAACGTAATTTTCAACACTAATAGCTTATCATAACACTCGAACTAAACTAAACTAAACACCAAACATAGTTGCAACGTTAAAAGCAAAAGGTTATTTAACATGGAAAAACTCTAACATGTTTTTAATTTTATGTTATACCATAGAAAATTCTTTGATTAGTTTAAATAGTAGTAAGTATTAGTTACAATTTATAACTTTACCTCATTGTTACAGAGAACAGCTACTTGTGGGTTTTTTTTATGTAAAAAATAAAACGACACATCAGTAAGAAACATAGCAATATTATGCAAAAAAAAATAATTCTTTAGCAGTTTTATACTTACACCTCCATTTTTAGTTGCTTGTGAATTATAACATGTGCTAGCCACAATTTTTTTTTTTTTTTATAAATATTACTATATAATAATTAAATAAAAATCGAATGCACGTTTAAAAGCTTGTTGAAACTAAATAACATGATTTCAAAATATTTATTAGGTAGTAATTGAACGCAAATAAATAGTGAATACTAAAATGTAAAATCAAATTTTGTATAAACTTACTGAAAATAAATATCTATTATAAACATTATGATTTAACTCATTGAAAGTTTTGAAGTTTATTGTTTTTTCTTATCGCCGAATGTTATCAACGACTGTTATCACCACTTCTTGCAACAGTGTTGACGTAGTCGGGAAAAACAAAACAATGTTGTATCAAAAAAAAATGTAATAGTTGAAATCGTGGTCTTTTCGAGTAAGATAGATAGGTTTCTTATAAGACCGTTGTTGTAATATTACTAATATTTAAGGTTTTTAAAAAGAAAAATTCTTTAGTTATCGATACGTATTACTGGAATAGTGGTATATCGTACATACTACATATTATAATTTATAGTATAATACCTAGCATGTAAATATAGGTATTATTTATTTTTAACGTTCAAAACAACTTTCCGTAACACGTAGGTACCTACGCAAACCAAACATCTAATTTAATGCAGGCAACTATTCTGTCAAACTACGAACTAGATGATGATAAAATTTATTTAGTAGAGTTAATATATGTCATCTGAAAATTGTTCAGATGAAGAATCCGATAGTTCTAGTTCCCCGACTCAAACCTTTTCATCCTATATTGACTTTATCTGCAGTTGAAGTTGATATTTCAACGTTAAAAAAGTGTGAACTGTGAAGCTAAAATAAGCAATAACACTTGACAATTGTTCAAACAGTTATTTTGCAGGTTACTTGTGAAATTATTCAAATATCATGATGAAAAAAATCAATTAAATAAACAAGAACTTCTTATATTTTGTAAAAACTGTGACTCTAAAACATCTGATTTTTTTTTGAAAAAGACCAGCACATCACTTTATTTAATTTATTACTTTTGAGCAACAAATAATTTTTAAAAAAAAAAAACAGCTGAAATATTGTGATATATTTTATATGTCAATTTCTCTCGATAAAATTCAAAATTAAAAAGCGATTTGTCATATATCTGTAAATTTAATGAATCGTTCATTGACCATTTTAATTAAATAATAATTCATGAAATTAATTTGTAAATTCCTCGGAGATTTAAATTGGAAATCTAAAACTATTAAAAGCACCAGAGTTGAAAAAAACAAAAATAAATTAAGCATTTTAAGAAATAACTAAAAAATGTATTGTTAGCATGCATCTTATAAAAATAAAATACATAATAATGAATAAATTGATTTCTATTTACTATTGGTTATTTCCTTATTTTATTTTTCGACTATAGTACAGTTTATATCATTCTTGGTTTTGATAACAAAGGTTTATTTATTTTATTTTATTTCGCTACAAATAAAATTGTTATTTTAAGCTGTTAGTTTATTACTTATTAGTTATTATCCATTAAGAGGTTGGACATATTTTAGATTCCGAGTGGAGTGATGAATGTAATGATTTAACCACTTTTTTTCTGGTTGCAAAATGGATATAATTGGTACTTTTATCACGATGTTTAAGTATATAACTATTATAACTGTCGTATTATAAAATATCCTTGACTGTCAAGTCCATTTCCTACCCGTTCCTTGTTATACAAAAAAAAAAGCTGACAGTTCGTTTTCGCTCAGAATATAAAATAATATAAATTTTTAGGAATCGTCAGATTCAATAAAAATAATAATTATATTTAATATTAATTTATATTCTTGGAATATGTATTTCTTATCTCGATTTTACAAGCAATTATGGGGGAAAACGCAAGTTGGGTCTCGAGATATTTAATTCCTTAAAAAAAACACAAGTTGGAACCACGGTGTTTTCGAAAATACTCGAATTGGGTCCAACTTAACTTGCCAGTATATGGGCACCCAATGAGGAGGCGGCAAGACGGGGCACTTGCCTTCCCTCCATAGAAAAATAATATAATCTTATAATAAGTATTACTGTTATAGAGATTATCTAATAATCTACCTAAATATGTGAAACACAGGTTAATAACTTAGCAGTTGAAGCCTTTATTTTAATAAGAAAAAAAATTTAAAAAACTTTTCTCAGTACGCTGCGCATCTCGGTTACTGATTTTCATTTCATATACATCATATATATATATGCATAAAAAACATTTTATTTTATTTATTTTAATTGGTACAATATTTTTAATAGTCTTGCAACATTTATGTCACTCTACTTATAAATAATAAGAACAAAAAATATTCAAATATATTTACTATTAAGGTATAATAATACATATTTAGTATTTACTTAATTACTTCAAGTGGTCAAAGAAATTAATATTGTCTTTCATTCTTAGATCAGAGTTGTTATTGAATATAAATATCTGATATGATGAAATATATACATTTTTATGGAAATTTGACTGATTTAATGATTTTTCATTAGTTAGTATAGTTAAAGTAGTTACTTAGTTACGTCACCAAATACCTACTTGATACCGAATAATAATAGTAACCACGTGACTACTGTACATACTACATAGTATTATAACATAGGAGCTGATACAGGTACTTACCGCTTACAGACATACGAATAATATATGCATATTTTGTATCTATTTATTATTGTTGCTGCAGTGTAAATAATATGTTCTTTCAATCCCCCTCTATAGGTTATTTTCGATAAGATACCGTAAAAATACTGGGTTTACTATACAATAATAATAATATATTTGGCCACCCATCACGTGTGTCGTGCACCTACTATATCTATAGGACATAGGTAGTTCGCTAACTTCTTCATAATTATTAAAGGTCATCTAAGAATGTTCTTCAACTCTTTTTAATAATTCGCAGTTTGAAAAAGAAATAACCGAACGATTAAGGACTGCAAATACAAGATTCAAAAGTTTTCAAATTAGAAATAACAAATCACAATAATATACTATAAGTAGTTCTAAAATCGAATTAACTGATTTTTTTATATATATTGTGTTTTCTATTAAGCCTCAGAGACATTAATTTTTGGTCAGTATTTTTATATAGTTCAATAAAAGTTATATTTATTTTTATTTAAATTTTACTTACATTATTTCGACGATCAAATGCATTATATGTGTATTTATTTTTATGCAAAACAAGAAATTAAATATTGATTTAGGTATTAAACCATTTTATAATTCTTAAAATTTTAAATATAGCTTAATATTTTCTCATGACTGTAATGAATATACTTAATTATTAAAATGTGCTAAAGAGGTACAAAAATTGAATTTTTTTTCACTAAGCTGAATGTGTTAAATGTTTTTATGACCTATATAAAATGTTTTTGTAAGAGAATTAAAAAAGTATTTGTTTTTAAACAATACATTTGATGTGATGTTTTTAGACTAAATGTCAGAAATTGGGATTAATATCTTTTCGTCATTTTAGAAGAATTGTAAAATCAGCAAAGAAGAATGTGTTATGTCTACAAAACATTACCGCAGAACAGAGTGACATCATCAATAGTATCTATAAATCCTGCTAATACAACTGAACTAATAACACCATAAATAAATGAAGTAGTTTCTAATTTTAATAATGATAATACTATGTTAAGTATGGTGAATAACAATATTAACCTTGAGAATGAATGTTATTTTCCTAAAATGCCAAATTTAATAGTACCTAATATGTTATTGCCACGATAAACTACGTAATTGGATACTTGACTATACAATTTCTCATAATGGTACAAACTCACTTTTAACTATTTTACGAAGTAAAGGAATGAAAGTTCCTAAAGATATTAGAACAATAATGAATACTCCTAAAACTAAAGATATCACCAATTTATCAAATGGTTTTTATATACTTTTAGGGTTAAAAGATATGTTAGTATCTCTTTTAGAAAAAAAAAATTTTATTAAACATAACATTGATAATATACTAAAAATAGGAATTAACATTACTGGTCTACCAATAGCTAAAAGTAATAAGAGTCAATTATGACCTTACTGGTTTCTGTTTTAAATTTCAAAGAATTACCCAATAATGAACTCCCAATCGGTATATTTCATGGGTTTAAAAAACCACAATCAATCGAAGAATTTTTTTAATTATTTATCACTGATCTTCTAGACTTATTCACTAATGGTTTAAATGTAAATGGAACTTAATAAATCTACAAATTTTTAATTTAGTCTATGATGCCCATGCAAAGAGATTTTCATTTAAGACACATATATTGAAATATATCGCTGTTTGCTTATGTGTCTTGTCCCCTTGTGTGTTGTTTTGTTATTAATGAAATATTATTATTATTATTAAAAGTATTATTAATAACAGTATTATTAATAACACCTGCAGGTGGTTCTAATTTTTCTTTTTTACTCAAATAAGTCTTTATGATGTCAATTAAAAACGATACTACATTTATATCAGTATCAATTTTTGATACATCATGTGGTGTTCCAATATCTTCATTAATTAATTCAAATAATTTTAAATTAGTTAAATTAATAAAAATAATTTGGATTTTCTTTGGTTCCTTTAAAATATTAAAAATTAAAGTTAAGTTAAAATCATAAAAATATTTAACCATCAATTAACCGGCTGAATTCTACGGATTAATTAGACACTTTACCGGATATTGCGATGCACACGAATTGCGTACCAAGTCTGGTAAAAAACCTATTTCCCGATCCTAGTACGTTTCAGCGCGGAGGACGAAGCCAAAACCTTTTTGCATGATGTATACATGTTTTTAACGATTTTTATCTGATTCAGCGCGAGGCTGAAATGTTCACAAGTATTAACATCACTATTTAAAACAACACAAGATGTATTAAACTTAAAAATTTGACTTACATCCATTTTTACTTTAATGAAGTATCTAATAATTAGGCATACACATTTAACAATATATATATAAATTAAAACTACCACACTAAATAGGTATTAATGTCACATAGAACGTTGTGAACACACTAACCGATATTTACAATTTTATCTTATTTGGGTACATTTTACAGACGATTTTGAAAGTTATCCTGTGCGCACTAATAGTGCTATCATAATCGTTATAAACTTTTAAGACAAAATACTACTACATATAGTAATACCTTTACTACT